TGAGTTGAAAGATATTCATTGAATCAATTGCAATTGTCACACAATTTTTTCATGAAATTCTGATGAATATTTCTTGCATAAATGACCAACTTGAAAATTAAATAATGTAAGTCTATGGGAAAACCAGACTCAACTTGGGAACATTTCGACTTTGACTCTTGATGCAATGATTAAGTCCACATCTTAGGTTCTCACTGTACAGTACTTCCTTGCTACTTTTGATCAATTTAATATGCTGAGAAAATTTCCCAGCTGGTCCGCGGACCACAGGGTGGGGAACACTGTCCTACTTGATAGAGAGGCGACACCTACATCTGACGTTGTATGAACACAATGTAATTGAATCCCATGTAAAGATTCAGATAAAATACCACAACCTCTGTGTACTGCTACTGTACTAAAAAAGCCTTATTGTTATGTCTTTCTTCATATTACAGCTAAATGACCAATGTTGTCTTTATTCATTTTTTTCAGATCAAAACCTTGGAAGCTGGAAATAGATGACGCTACTCCAGTGATGCTCATTGTTCTGCTCCTGTTTTTAATCCCAGCCAGACCGAATTTCTGGTGGTTTCGCGACGATTCCGGTGACGTATCTGCAAAGTGTTTCGTTCGGAGATTTATAATCGAGTCATGGTTGATTAATATGATTACTTTTAATCTTTTCAGACCCGGAAAAGCCATTGACTAGTCCATCCCTGCTTGATTGGAAGGTGGTTCACGAGAAACTTCCTTGGGGAGTCATGCTGTTGCTTGGTAATTATCGGTTTCCGGTGGAAACCGGAATTAAATGACCAGAAAATATGTATCCATCTTGTTGCAAGGTCATTAACTCCTCAGGAGGAAGTTTTTTTTTAATTTTTTAATGCTTCCGATGAGGACAAGTGAGTTTCCGTTTATCAGGGTGTCTATTATCCCTGTCTATTTCCTGTTCTTGATTATATCAAGGCAATTGATTTTCCACTGAGGAAAAGAGATTAAGTGTACTTGAGTCAAACTAATATTTGGTTAGTTGCGACAAGTCAAAGCATGTTGCACATGATACAGTCATAGAGGATGTAAAACTTGGAGAATTGTTTTTTAAACGAATTTCAGATTGACGAGAAAAATGTAATTATTTATTTTTGATTTATGAAAAGTTTAACTGCGCCTAAAGTTTGCTAACATATTGCAAGTGAACCTGCTGAACGCATAACATGCAAATGTATAAAGCAAAGTGTATTAATACTTCAATCGATTTTGTTGATGTGTGAGGTTACTAAGGTGTAATTCTGGTCTTGAAAATGTTGCACATGTGCAAAATTTTGTGAGACTTCAATTAAAATTATTTTCTTTAGAAAGAATCAGCCTGTTATCACTAGAAAACCTTTTGTTTGGCGCAATATTTTATTTCACTGTGAAGAATTAAATCATATACATTTTTGGAGAGACGGTATTGTATCTCAAATATTTAAAAAGTTTAATTTTCGCATTTTCAGAAGAATTTCAACTCTTCAGGAAAATGTATAGACAGAACAAAACTGTTATTGGAAACATCAGTATATTTAAAAATATTTCCCTGCTAAACTCGTGAATTCCATAATACCAAAAATGTTGAACATGCAATATTCATTTAATTTCAATTTAACATGTTTAATTGAATTGGATGAGTAAATCTTAGACAAGATAAGTCCGTCAAAACATATTGAAACTGGAAAAAAGTGTGGCACTGCATCAAAAATTCAGAATCATTCTTTTCTTTACACAATCATTTCCTCAAGCAAATAAAATTATGTGTGTTAACGTTTTGGCTCTACTGCAATTTTGATTTCTGCATGTTCAAAATGCTCCTTTCTAGCTTCCATCAGCTTTTTAGCTCATTAATTTTGCCTATTTTGTTTACTCTTTCAGTAATTTTCATGCACATAAGCGGTGTATAGTTAATCAGATTCAATGCTTGAAGTTGGATCAATGTGAGGAAGGCTGAAAATACATATAATGTACTCAAAGAATGCAAGACAAATTAAAAACTAAAATTAAAAAAAGTATTCTCAAAATGTATTGTTATGACATCTAATAGTTTCTTCGCCAGAAAAGTTTGTGATTATGATATTTGTTCAAGGAATTGCTGCAGTACTTTATTATTGTATGCTGTTCTTGAGGAAGGGCCCTTTTGGAT